TTCGTGTATTTGCTGCAATAAAATGTTACTAATGTTCTGAATTATTCTTTCGTCAAAAAGAAGCCGTATTAATAATTAAAAATAAAAATATAAAATTTTGTACTTTTTAATTTATTCATTTATTGCGCCCTGATTTATTTTGTCTCAATTCAGGCACTAAGTATTCGATTTTTAGCAATATTAATCTAAACTGTTTCATATATTCATAAATATTTTTTACAGTATCGACGATACTGCTAAAAATACTATCGCATCTTAAATTTAATAAATGTTCTAGTCCATCGAGTGAACGCAGTGATGGTAATTTCTCTACAGAGATGTGAGGATAGAAAGTCTTGATTACGTGAAACTTGAACAAGTGTGAATTATTGCTCGACAATTCCCCGAACTCGTTTATCGCAGAGGCCGGTAATGCATAATACAGCCTGTAGGGAATATTCTTGACAGCAAACTTCTCCTCGCAATCCCTGATCTTCTTAGCGATGCTATCAAGTACCCATGATAGAGGCATGGAGCCTTGCTCATATAAGTGAAAGTCCTGCGTCAGTTTGTACTTGTGATTACTACTACTGCGATAGATCCTGCGAGTATTTCGCAACTGTAACAACGCTGTCGGCAGCGAATAACTATACGAGGTATATAAATGCACATGAGCAAGATGCGGTTTGGCCTTCAACTCCGTTGTGATGTAAGACACGAGCGGTAGAATTCCGCCCTGATGCACGAAAGCGTAGAAGAAAGTCAGTAGCAGATTGCTGACATACCAAAGCATTAACTTCCTGGACTTGTGCTTCGCCGGTTTGATGGGACTAGAGGATTTACCATTTCCGTATCTTTGAATGATATCCAGACTAGGGACTTGACTCAGCTCGGGCGCGTAAAGAAACACCAGCGGGAAGAGCACCGGGATTATGAAACGAGGTTCCTGATGAGGAAAGAAAGACAGCAAGGCGACTGGAACAATGAACGTGAATGTCATCAGGCCTACAATGCTCTGCAGACGTGGTAGATGCAACCATTGTGCCTTCAGCCCGCTGGAAATAAATATTATTGTCGGTTAACTTTTTAATATCAACTGTTTCGATATATGTCCCTTTTTAAACAATTATAGGCTGCGTTCTGTTTCATGCATAATGCGCGTGATGCATCATTTATCCTTGTTATTCACCGAATATTAAACAAGGATAAATGATGCATTATGCACATCATAAGTGAAGCAGAATGCACCCATATCATCTCCTGATATTTCTTTTCAATTAAAAAAAAAAAAATGTTTCAGACAAAAATTATATGATTTAAAGACAAATAATGGTAAAATTAATTGTCGAAAAAATCCATTTTCCATGAAAATATAAAAGTCATGAATATTTCTTAAATAGAATTATATGATTCTTTTTATATAATCCTTTAATTATTCTACATATATGTATACTGTTTAAAATGGAACTGTCTTATATGGCTCACCTGTGTATCATTTTCACAAATGTCAGCAATCCAATGATCCCTAGAATGTTAAACAGCAGCGGAATGTTCACTAAGAAATGCAGAAAACGAGGATGCAGTCCATGTGACTCCAAATTTTTCATGTTTGCATTATATTTGAGAAAATTAACCGGTGTCACTACAAAATTGTTAATTCCAACCTCCAATTGGCCTATCTCTGCCATCGTTAAGTATCCAAAGTAAAAACTGTCGACTAGAATAAAAAACAACGCAGCCGGTAGTCCGCAGAGAACAAAAATGATCATTCTAAGGTGGAAGTCTTTGAAGCCAACGCTCATCGAGTTCAATCCTCTTTGGAGCCAGAAGAAGATGGGAACGAAGGCGAATGCGACGAAAGTCGGCCTGTTGAATATCCCTATCACCGTTAACGTAGCCACCACAAAGCAGTCGTTCAGGGAATGTGAGGGTAGCAATACCTTGAGCTTGTAGTATTTGACTCGCTCTACGGCAGTTGCTGCTTCGTTGTATTTCATAGAGAGGTAATCACTCTGCAATACCACCTGATACAAAAAAAATAAGATTTAAAACAATGTAAGATACAAACAATAACTAAACATTGAGATCTCTTAGTTAATTATGCAGATGAGAAAAGACATTCCGCTAATTATTGAGCCCCGTATTATTTTCTTCATCAATATAAACTACATTATATATGAAAATTAACTCATTCCACCGAAATATAATTTTCCATATAATTAACGAATTTTTTATTTTAATAACTAGATTTTTCTTAAGTTTATGTTCCTTTTTATGAATCTTATCGATTGTTTTTATACAGCTTAATATTTGAAGGAGTCAAACGTACTTTCTCTGAATATGCCATGCACCGGGAAACAAAGTACAACAGTGAGGCAGTCAACACCAGTTCAATCGAGTTGGACAGCGTACGGGTGGCATAGGTCAGCATGACATAAGAGCTAGCGTATGTGACAAGCCTGACTCTGTAATTCTGTCCATATATGAAACAGATCTTGTACAGAAAATAATCCGACAGAAAGGAGAGTGCACACATAAAAAGGCGGGGGAAGAGCACAAAGAAGTATGGTCTCTTCAACGATAATCCAAAGAAGTAAAATGTATATGGAGACAGTCTGTTGAGAATTGCATAAGGTAAACCAACGACGATTTGAGGAATGAACATCGAGCGTATTGGAAAGGTGGCGTTGAATTCCCATGGCTTATAGACATCAATATCAAAGTGGTCTCCTGTAAAAAGTGAACAGGTATGTAAATATATATTAAATATAAAGCAAATGCTAAAACATAGCAGGATGGCGACATACCAGAGATAACTTCAATGGACTGAAAGAACTCATCGGGATGAATATAGCCTGTCTGTGAAACAAAAGTAAGGACTACTCTCAATGATGCTAGAATCCAGTAGAGACCGATCTTACGCCGCACAGGTGTTGCAGTTTGGTAGTCGTCGATGGATCTGCGATACTCGTTTTTGTGCTGAATACAAAAATCTTATGTATAGATATAAATATATAAGAGTAAGCTTGTGTGTGTGAATATATATAATATATAAATAAGAATAACTAAAATATATATATGTATGTATTAAGTTGAGCAGTTTTGTTTATTTATAAAAAATACAGAGACAAACTTTATATCAAAATCAAAACCTTTTCAAAACAAGATATTAACATTTTTTTTTCTAATTAAGATTTCATCTTTCAGATTTATTATTTAATATTATTAAGTTATCATATGCATTTTGAGAGGAAAATTGTACAAAGATTAATATTAAAATGTCAAGTTACCTTCAATGACATGTTTTTTGTAAGGATTAGTTTATCATAATTTAACCCTCAATAACAGTTCTTGGACATTTATTTAAAGATAGAAAAAAATTATGGAGTCATGAAATACCGCGATTCTTTTCTACTTTATTACAATCGAGATACACAGAAAATCGCATTATAATTGCGATATTCGTTATCAGAAGCATTGCGGGATACTTGTTAATTGACGAACAATGGCTACGTTCAACAGAACACAACAATTTTGCAACCGTTTTATGATTCTCTGCTGAGATTGGACCATTCCTCTTGATCTAAAAGCATAATCCAATCAGCGCGAAGAAACTTCCAACAGTTGCAAAATAAACGTTCTGCTGAACGCAGCCAATCAAGCTGGAAACACAATAGACACAGGCAACAGGGAATAACGAGCCGTCCAATCAGAGCTCTGGGATATAATATCGAACTTATACCCCAAAGCTCTGATTGGACGGCTCGTTATTCCCTGTTGCCTGTGCCTATTGCCTGTGCCTATTGTGTTTCCAGCTTCATGGGCCTTCTACAATAAGCCATTAGTCATAAATCAGGCTGGAGTCCCATGAGGTGTATTTACCGCGTATCGCGTAACCGCGTAACCAATCAGAA